AAGATAAGAACATGCATCGTGATGAAAATCTAAAACTGGGTTGTGTAAATTTCCCCGAAAAAGCATTGAATCGTACATTTAAAACAAGTGAAATTTATGGTAGATGGATTATATTTTAATACAGCTGTTAAAAGTACACATGAGACTAGGCGCTGTGGCTCACGCCTGTAATCCCCGAACTTTGGGAGGTCATGGTGGGCAGATCACAAGGTCAGGAGTTCAAGAGCAGCCTGGCCAACATAGTGAAATCCCGTCTCTACTAAAAGTACAAAAATGAGCCGGCTGTGGTGGCACACGCCTGTAGTCCCAGCTACTCAGGAGGCTGAGGCAGGAGAATCACTTGAACCCAGGAGGCAGAGGTTGCAGTGAGCCAAGACGACACCATTGCACTCCAGCCTGGGTGACAGATTTTGTCTCAAAAAAAAAAAGTACACGAGCAAGCCTGCATCCAAGTAGATAGTGATAAATAAAAACAGCCACCCTGTAACCTTTCTCTGGTAATTAAGACACCATTGTTGGCCTCTCACAGCAGCAGAGTTGCTTTGTTGATTTTGTTTTTGTTTTTTGAGACAGGGTCTCTCTCTGTTGCCCAGGCTGGAGTGCAGTGGTGTGATCTCAGCCCACTGAAGCCTGGACCTCCAGAGTTGAAGTGATCCTCCCTCCTCAGCCACCCGAGTAGCTGGGCTCAGGTGTGCACCACCACACCGGGCTAACTTTTCTATTTTTTGTAGAGATGGGGTTTTGCCAAATTGCCCAGGCTGGTCTCAAACCCTTGAGCTCAAGTGATCCTCCTGCCTCAGCCTCCCAAGGTGCTGGGATTACAGGGGTGAACCACCGCACCCCGCCTGTATTTTTAATTCCAAAATGCATTTTAGGTTAGGATTTAAAGACAAAATGTTATATCTGCCTGATGGATTATAAGCGACTATCATTTTCTCTGTAAGGTTCAGTTTTTAAATTTTTTTCTGACTACCACATATTCCTTTTGTAAGTTCAATGAGTTGTTTGTTTGTTTGTCTGCTTTTAGAGACAGGGTCTTGCTCTGTCGCTCAGGCTGGAGTGTAGTGGGGTGATCATAGCTCAGCGTAACTTTGAACTCCTGGGCTCAAGCGGTCCTCCTGCGTCTGACTCCCAAAGTGCTGGGATTACAGGCATGAGCCACTACATCCAGCAGCAATTCATTTTTTTAATAATAAAGATAATTATGCCCTAAGTGCATGCAAAAAAGAAAAAAAAATACAGATAATTCAAGTGATAAGAGTATTTTTCTATGAACATTTTTAAGGCATTTGATTCATATTTCAAAATTGCCCTCCAGGAAAGTTCCACTGTTAGGCGCCCACCAGCAGTGTTCACTCTCATTTTTGAATTTCATCTAATTTTGTTTCAGTCTGCTCATATTTCTAATCTTGTTATATCCCTTTTTATTATTTCTTTGGGGTTCCAATACCTCCCAATTTAGTGTTCTCATTGAATTTCATTAGCAGCTGTTTCATTAGTAGCACAGACGAAGGATTAAAGTGTTAACTAGGATAGACTTTGACAAAATCCTATAAAAAATGTATGCTATTATCTTTGCATAGATCCTATTTAATCAAAGTTCCCCAGAAACCTCTCACTGGGGCTCATCTCAAGGGACAGAACTGGCCACGGATGGTTTTCTAGACCTTGACTCGTGTGGTCCTCTCAGTAGGAACGCACATTCGTGATGTGTCCGGGTTCGGGTCATGACAAGGTTGTATGGGGTTCTGTGTCCTGTCCCTGCACATCAATTCACTGCCCTTTGCTTTCACTCTTCAACAACAAAGGAATCTGCCTTTAGTTTGAGTCCTTGATTGGACACACAGCCTCAGACTTCTCATGGTGCAAAATATACAGCTGAGTATGTCTATTCTGGAAGCATCGTGAATGAGTCTTTTCTTCGTTACTTGAATCCCAGTTTAAATGCACTAGGGATATTAGCAAGGTTCCCTTCTGGTATAGAACCACTCCCTCTTTATTTTAATACAAAATGTCACAGATTAAATTTGGTTGATGAAGTACGTACATATTCTCACTTTCTATTACCTCTATGAATAGATGATTAATGCAAAATATTGAGTAATTTTTAAAAATCAATACTGAATTTTTTAGAAATAATTAGAGAGATACTCAGCTCTGACATAAATGCCCACACAGTTCCTGAGCCTACTTCTGTCAGAGGCTAATCTATAAATAATTCACAGAGCTGACATTACTCACTCTATTGTGATCATCCTTCTCTGGAAGATTTTAGCAACAGTTCTGATATAGATTGCCAGTTATCAGTACTTGGTAATGCAAGTCCACTTTTAATTATGCAGAGGCTGATTATTCAGACTACAAGCTCTTCATGCCCTGAACGGCTCCTTCCTGCTGCCTGCCTTTGAGCATTTTCACTGCTCATTAGCACATATGCCAGAAGGTGGGCATTGGACGAGGTAGGAAGAAGAAACAAAAATCAGCAAAGCACTTCGGAGAAGCTCTGACGAAAGATTTTAAAACAATTTGTAGAATTATTAACTAGAATTGAGTCATTTGGATTCCCTGTGAAATGTATTTACTTGTTCTCCTTAGCAACAGATAGTAGAATTGCCCGCAGAGAGACATTATTCCTGTATTTAATGTTTTTCTTTTTAAAATGTTTTCTTTTTGGGGGAGGAGGGAAAGAGTCTCACTGTGTCACCCACGCTGGAGTGCAGTGGTGTGATCTTAGCACTGCAACCTTTGCCTCCCAGTTTTAAGCGATTCTCCAGCCTTAGCCACCTGAGTAGCTGAGTTTAGAGGTGCACACCACCATGCTCAGCTAAGTTTTTATATTTTGATTAGAGACGAGGTTTCACCATGTTGGCCAGGCTGGTCTCAAACTCTTGACCTCAAGTGATCCACCTGCCTCACCCTCCCAAAGTGCTAGGATTACAGGCATGAGCCACCGCACCTGGCCTATAAAACATTTTCACATGATGGTTCATAATATTTTCTTCATTACATTTGTACCTAGACCTATTTATTTATTTGATGAATTTGGTTGTTTGTTTGTTTTGTGAGACAGAGTTTTGCTCTGTCACCTGGGCTGGAGTGCAGTGGTGTGATCTTGGGTTGCTGCAACCTCTGCCTCCCAGGTTCGAGCAATTCTCGTACCTCAGCCTCCCAATTAGCTGGGACTGCAGGTGAATGCTACCATGCCCAGCTAAGTTTTGTATTTTTAGTACAGACAGGGTTTTGCCATTTTGGCCAGGCTAGTCTCAAGCTTCTGACCTCAGGTGATCTGCCTGCCTCAGCCTCCTAAAGTGCCGGATTATAGGCATGAGCCACGACACCCAGCCTGGTGAGTGGGGTTTTTTTTAAGATTCCTGGCATATATTCAGTGATATCACGATTATTTGATGGTTTTCTAGTTTTCCAGAAAACTTAATGCTTTCTTTTAAATACTGGTATCGTTTGTCTTCCAACCTGTTTTTTTGGAAACACAATTTTCCTCAGGCTTAAACTGAGGCTACCGAACATAATTTAAGTGTTTCTGTATGCCCAGGGTTATCTTTGCTGTACATACTGCTAGGACAGGTGGCTTTGACAAAAACCAGCACAGGGAACACCTTTGGCTAAGTGAAATGTTACAGGTGTACTTTTAAAATGCTGCTTAGCCACCATGTTTTCTTTTCAGAAATGAACAAAATTTTAAAGTAAACTACTATGGGCCTGAAAAGAGCAAAAAAGAAAAAGACAGAAATGTTACAAATATAGTAAAACTTTTTTTTTCTTTCTTTCTTTTTTTTTTTAAATAGAGACAGGGTTTCACCATATTAGGCTGGTCTTAAATTCCTGACCTCAGGTGATCCACCTGCCTCGGCCTCCCAAAGTGCTGGGATTACAGGTGTGAGCCTACTGAGCCAGTAAAACTTTTTTAAAAATTTTATTTACTTATTTTTTCAGATGGCCTGCTCTGTCACCCAGGCTGGAGTGCAGTGGTGTGATCGTGGCTCACTGCAGCCTCGCGCTTCCAGGCTTAGTGGATCCTGCCACCTCAGCCACCCGAGTAGCTGGGATTACAAGTGTGCACCACCACTGCTGGCTAACTTTAAAAATTTTTTTTAGGCCAGGCATGGTGGCTTGTGCCTGTAATCCCAGCACTTTGGGAGGCCAAGGCAGGTGGATCACAAGGTCAAGAGATTGAGACCATCCTGGTCAACATGGTGAAACCTCATCTCTACTAAAAATACAAAAATTAACCAGGCGTTTGGCACGCGCCTGTAGTCCCAGCTACTTGGGAGGCTGAGGCGGAAGAATCACTTGAAACCGGGAGATGGAGGTTGCAGTGAGCCGAGACTGCACCACTGTGCTCCAGCCTGGGTAACAGAGCAAGACCGTCTCAAAAAAAAAAAAAAAAAAAAAAAAAAAATTTTTGTAGAGACCAGATCTAGCTATGTTCTCCAGACTGGTCTTGAACTCCTGAGCTCAAGCAATCCTGCCTGAGCCTCGGAATGACAGGCATGAGCCTTGGTGCCTGGCCTGCTTCAAGGTATCAAGTTCAGGGTAGTAACTGGGTCACTTGTTCTATTAACCAATCAAAGACTCGATAAACAAAGCCCTTGACTAGAAAAGTCTTTGGGAAGAAGCCTCAACAGGTGCTGTGGTTTCTGTGTTCTTCCCTCGTGAACATTAGGAAACTATCTAGAATGCTCCCTACCGATCATTCCTTTTTTGTTACTTTTTTATAAGTTCTCATCGTTGACTGTTTCGTGGTGTGGAGACACCGCCGTTAGGTCCCAGGACTCCAGTGAACTTCGTGTGCACATCACTTGGCTTCCTGGGGACCGGAGCTTGCTGTGAGGCATGTTCCATCTGATTTCTGTTGGACCCAGCTGTGGAGCCATGACTCAGATGGGCTGCAGGCCTAGCTGCCCGGCTCATCGTGTGAGGAACAGACGGCAAGGCCAGGGCTCCTGTCCTGACACATCTTTCCTTTCCTCTTGCCCTTTCAGGATCTAAAGAGGGCATCGTTACTGGCAGCAGGCAGGTGCGCCTGGCCACGGGCATCTTCCCTGTCATCAGCCTGCTGAACCACTCCTGCAGCCCCAACACCAGCGTGTCCTTCATCAGCACCATCGCCACCATCCAGGCGTCACAGCGGATTGGAAAGGGGCAGGAGATTGTCCACTGCTACGGTGAGCCATGCCTCTGCACTGCCGCCCTGCCCTTCTCCAACAGGAAAGGCACGGTGCATGCCAGTGAGCCAGCCGTCGGGCATGGGACTTCACCTGCAAGAGGCAGTGCATACTTAGGCCAAAAAAGACGGAAGGAGGGAAGGAAGGGCCTTCTTACTAGGGCCCTATTGTGGCTGAACTGTGTCTCTCTGTTTAATCGCTGTAAACTTCCTCTTCTGAAAATGGGCTGGGAACAACTTCTTGGCTTCTCTTCCTTCCTGCCTTAGCAACTTGGAAGCTTATTTTAGTATCTAGTTCCACAAATGTTTGAGTAAAGGTTATCTGTCAAATGATAAATAATTGTCCAGACCCTGTGCTAGGCTGAAGGTTTTTAAGAAGTGTTTGACTCTCTTGCTTTAAATCTTGGCTAAGGCTGATCTCTCTCCAGGGCCTCACAAGAGCCGGATGGGGGTGGCCGAAAGGCAGCAGAAGCTGAGGTCTCAGTATTTCTTTGACTGCACCTGTCCAGCTTGTCACACTGAGGTACACGAGATGGCTGCAAGGCCCAGGTGGGAGGCTTTCTGCTGCAACAGCTGCAGAGCGCCCATGCAGGTAATTCTATCTGCTCTACTTTTCCTGGAGGTCAGTTATCCAGCCCAAGGGTGAGAAGTGTTGAGGAGGCAGCCAGCAGGGCCTTCTAAGTGCTGAGAGCAGTAACACCATCTCCACTTTAGCCAGTCATCCCCATGCACTGGTTACTCCTCCAAAGAAACCACAGAGAAAGCTTTCATTTAGTGATGGAGACTGTTCTAGTGCACTCCAGCCTGGGCAACAGAGTGAGACTCGGTCTCAAAAAAAAAAAAAAAATTAGCCAGCTGTGGTGGGTGCCTGTAATCCCAGCTACTAGGGAGGCTGAGGTGGGAGAATCACTGGAACCCGGGAGGCGGAGGTTGCAGTGAGCTGAGATCGCGCCACTGCACTCCAGCCTGGGCAACAGAGCGAAACTCCATCTCAAAAAAAAAAGAACACATGTCACTCTAACAGCAGCCTGGGCAAAGGTGTTACTGTGTCTCATTGACCTGAGAACTATGACTAGAGGAAAATTAGAGGTAGTTTTTCTCCAGCCATCTGGGCCAGAGGAATGAGGGAATGAGCCATGTGTGAGCCACATGCCACACCTCAGCCGTAGGGCACTGGCTATGGGACTGAGGGGAAAGGCATCCTCGTGAGAAACTGGGATGCTGTTGCCAGATGAGAAAGCAGATACTGGCATTTGAAACACAGCAAACATCCACCTTGGAGGCTTCCCCTCTGCCAGGCAGTACAGCATTCTTCTTAGGGGAATCATGAGTGAAGTGCAGAGCTGGCTATGTTAGAAAGCTGAATGCACAAACCCAAGGTCAAATGCAGGACAGTCACACCTAGCACCTTCTGTTACTTTTCTTTCTTTCTTTCCTTTCTTTTCTTTCTTTTCTTTCTTAGATATGGAGTGTTGCTCTGTTGCCCAGGCTGGAGTGCAGTGGTGCAATCTCCACTTACTGCAGCCTTCGCCTTCCAGATTCAAGCAATTCTCCTGCCTCAGCCTTTCAAGTAGCTGAAATTACAGGTGCATGCTACCACACCCAGCTAATTTTTGCATTTTCAGTAAAGATGGGGTTTCTCCATGTTGGCCAGGCTGGTCTCAAACTCCTGGCCTCAGTGACCCACCCACCTTGGCCTCCCAGAGTGCTGGGATTACAGGCGTGAGCCATCACGCCCAGCCTTTCTATTGGTTTTCTTGTGACTTTTTCAAAACCACTAGAAATGTTCGTCATCTCAAGTCCTAGCCCCAAAAAGATATGAGAGGGATATAGAAATGGAAAGAAACTGTGGACTAGACCAGTTCCGTTCCAAAAATGAAATCTCAGGCGGCTCAGCGACTGCCTTCCTTAGAATTGCTGCTATCAAACCAAATTCAGTCAGACTTTGGTCACGATGTATTATTACAGGAGGCTTTTTCCCTCATGAGGCGAGAAACTATGGAGCGATCCTCTAATGTAAGCACAGGCAGCGCTGATAACCGACTCTGGCATTGGAATAAAGAGAAAACTCACTTCCACAGGGAGATGACGTGCTGAGCTGTGGCCGCAGAGGCTGTGCAGAATCTGTCCGCAGGGACCACCTCGCCTCTCGCTTACAGGACCTTCGGCAGCAGGTTGGAATGGCCCAGAAGCTTCTCAGCGATGGTGAACTAGGTGAGGCTGGCTTTGGTCCTCCAGCTCCTTCCCTTTTATTCATTCTGATCCATTTTGGACTCAAGGATACTCAGTACTGATTGAAGGACCAAATGTAATTATCCCCATGCCAGCCACAAGATGGCTATATAGGCCAGTGAGACCAAACCCTAACCAACTCTGTTACTGTGGTGCCCTTGAAAAGGGGCCAGATGACTTAGGCTGTTGTTTTCTTATGCATCAGAGTGCTAAGTTAAAGCACCCGTGCCGAGCAACGGGTGAGCTCGGACATCCGTGAGCTTTGTGCAATTCCAGAAGTTCAGCGTCATTTATGTTAATTCCAGGGCTTAGTGACGTAACTGCCTAGAAGGGTGGGTCTGCCCTCATCAGAGCTCTTCTCTTCTAGAGAGCAGCGGGGCATGAGCCCAACTGGTAAGAGTGTCTTGCTTTTTCCAGAAAGGCAGTTGCAGAGGTCCCCATTACCCTTGAAAACTCTACCTTAGAGCTTGACATTGTGGAGTGTACTGACCTTGCTCTATGAACGTTGACCTTCAGCTTAGATCTCAGGGTCAGGAGAAACCCTGGCCATACGTGGAGGGTAGAGGTGGTCGTGTTGGAAGGCTGATGCTGAAAACCCAGGGCAAATGTGGGGAGGTCTCCCCTGGTGCCTCTCTCTACTGACAGAAAAGAGAACAGCAGCTTTATTGGAACGGACATTGGGGGCTGGTCACAACCCAGGGAGGCCAAGGGGAATTTCCACATTCAACGCAGCTGATTGAGAATTTGAGACCTGGGTTCTCGTTTCTAGGGGTGGGCTTATGTGTATAATGAGGCATCTTTCCTCTGAATTGACAGAGCCAGCCATTCAGCAGCTGTTGGGGTGTCAGCGTGATGCCAAGAGCTTCCTGTCAGCAGAGCACGCCGTGCTGGGAGAGATTGAGGATGGCCTGGCCCAGGCCTGTGCTGCCTTAGGTATGGCTCGGCCTCCGTGTTCTGCCTCAGGAACACGTCTGCCCTGGGTGCTTCATCGTGGCCCAGCCTTGTCTACTTGGTTATCCCCCACTCTGCAAACTGAGGCTGTTGTCCTGTCATTCACCTTCCTCACCCCCGAAAATGTGCATCCACAGTTGGCTGTGGTTCTTTTCTGGAACAAGATCTTTCTTTTCTCACAGGGGACTGGCAGAAGTCAGCTACCCATCTGCAGAACAGCCTCCGAGTGGTTGAGGCTCGCCACGGGCCGTCCAGTGTTGAAATGGGCCATGAGCTCTTCAAGCTGGCCCAGATCTTTTTCAATGGGTGAGTCTTCCCCTTTCCCACTTCACAGGCGAATACTGTTCTTTTCCTAGGCTCTTCTGGGTATTCCTGTTTTTCTATGGTGTTTTTAAAAGCATGTTGAAACTTCCTTATTTCCTCTTTAGGAGAGATCTTTGCCTTCTGTTTTGCTAACAAACTTAATGCTTTAGAATTTCCTCCTGGGAGATATGGGGAAGCTTTTGGATCTCAAATGAGTTTCCCAGAGAGAACTTGGCCAGGCAGTCCCACCCAGCCTCCAGCATAGCTTGCTTCCAGCTCCTCTGGTTAATCACAGCCCCTGGCTTTCTCACTCCCAGTGCTCAGCTGCAGGCTCTCTGCCTTTCTCTACTCTGCATCCTGTTCCTTTTAAAACATTTGTTTGAACCAGGGTTGATTTTACCCCCAGACAACCTTTGGTACTGCCTGGAGACTTTTTTTTTTTTTTTGAGAAGGGGTCTTGCTCTCTTGCCTAGGCTGGAGTGCAGTGGCACCGTCACAGCTCACTGCATCCTCAAACTCCGGGGCTCAAGGGATCTCTGGAGACATTTTTGATTGTCATGACTTGAAACGGGGGTGCCACTGGCATCTAGTGGAAAGAGGCCGGAGGTGCTGCTAGACCTCTCACTGCACACAGGACCGTGCCCCCCACCAGCCCCTGCAAAGGATCCAGCCGCTATCCAGTCAGTAGTGTCAGAGTTGAGAAACCCTGCTTTCAAAAAAAAAAAAAAATTGTTTTTCAATCCCCTGTTCTAAGCAGAGAAAGCCCACTTTGAGGGTTAAAAGGGAAGAGCAGCACACTGGTCAGCTGAAGCCAAATCCACTTTTGCTACTGAGACCACTTAGGAGTCGCCATTTCAGGATTTCTGGGTGGAACTCCTCCGATCTTGGCAGAGCTGCCCTTGGTGTTCATTAGTATGAGAAAGTGTTTAAAGCTTCAGCCTAAGGTTATGAATGGTGAGTGGGCCTGACACCCAAGACACAGAGACAGTCTATTTTGGTCAGAGTTAGGTCACAGCCTAAAATGAAAACTGCTGTATAACTTGTGCTAAATACCAGCTGAATGCTTTGAGGCCGGGCGTGGTGGCGGCGCCTGTAATCCCAGCTACTCGGGAGGTTGAGGCAGGAGAATTGCTTGAGCCTGGGAGGCAGAGGTTACAGTGAGCCAAGGTGGCGCCATTGCACTCCAGCCTGGGCAGCAATCGCGAAACTCTGTCTCAGAAAAACAAAAAGCTTTGAGATTTGCCTGTGTCCGGATCCCGGAGCCTGTGCTGTCTTTATGACTGTTTTCTCACACTCTGCTTTGCAGTGTGTTTGTGACAGTGTCTTAACTGTTCTAGAGGGTAAGATCCTTGATGACAGAAGGATCTGCAGGCCAGGCGTGGGATCTTCTGTTCCTCACAGTGTGTGAGGCCCTCAGTTTGCATTTGCTTCGCTGAGTCAGTGAACTAACTCTACCTGCTCTCACCCCCGGGCTTAGGTTTGCAGTACCCGAAGCGCTGAGCACCATACGGAAGGCCGAGGAGGTTCTGTCGCTGCACTGTGGCCCGTGGGACGATGAGATCCAGGAGCTCCAGAAGATGAAATCCTGTTTACTGGACTTAACACCCTCCCTGTAGGGCCTTCAGTGTAGGGTCCCAGGAGGATTTTGACCACAGAAAAGGAGCCCATGGAGCACAAGTTAAAGAGGCTCTGCTGGCCGGGCGCAGGTTCTGCGGGCCGGTTATGAGGGGTGAGGCGGACTCAAAGTGCAGTGAGAGAGACACCTGTTTTGGTGACTGTTTCTTGAAATGGTTAACTGCCCTCCAGTAAAAGCTCCCAGTCCCCAGGAAAGACTTAAAGCCGGTGTCTGGAGATTCCAAGTCCTTGAGAAGGGTTTTAGCTGCTCTGCAGGGTCTGGATGCCGGCCGGGGTCTTGGCTGGATTCCACCTCACTAAACGCTGATGCTGTGTTTCCCTGGAACATTCCTATGGTTTTCGTGGTAATGAAATGCAGTGCGCCACTCCAGCGGGAACCTCAACTCTTAGCAGTTGTGTTGTAATTGAAAAATAATTAGAAAACAGGAAATCAGTAAGGCTGCTTGCCTCCAGAGACACAGCGCTCCACTTACGCTATCTAGCTCCTGAAATCCTCTTACGGTCGCTGGAGTATAAATTGTGACCAGGGAAGTAACTCTGGAGCCATCTTATTGAGCAGTTTCCTCCAGGAATGACAGCTCTAGGTTTGTTTTCTGCCGGTTTCCAGTGCTTTTTCTCTGCCCTTCGTTCTATACTCAAACTTACAGGAAAGACTTTGTAACACACATGCCTCCTTTCTGAGTTCTGTTTGTTAGCAAGCCTGAATAGAGACTCCTTTTCCTACCAGACCTCTCCAAGCTGGCGAGTAGAATACAGACAGTATGAGAAATGGGAGCTGCAGGGGTTTCCGGAAATGCTGAGGTCATGGATGGTGCTGTTTGTGGTTGAGACTTAAGAGACATTCGAGACCAGCCTGGCCAATATGGTGAGACCCCGTTTCTACTAAAAACACAAAAATTGGTGGTTGGCGCCTGCATTCCCAACTACTTGGGGACCTGAGGCAGGAGAATCGCTTGAACCTGGGAGGCAGAGGTTGCAGTGAGCCAAGATCGCGCCATTGCACTGCAGCCTGGCAACAGAGCAAGACTCCATCTCAGGAAAAAAAAAAAAAAAACACGAGACAGAAGGTAGGGATGATGGCTCTCCTCCACCAGGATGTGTAGCAATAGCCCAGACTGACCACTGGTGACCAAGTAGTTGAGGTGCATTAGTGGGAAAGAATGCCAGCTCCATGCTGCTTTTGAGAGCTTCCAGCCTGTCCAGGCCCAAGAAGTGCCCATCAGTTGCCACTGCACTGTGATCAGGAGGTCAGTAGCCCCGCAGACACCTGCCAGTAGGGTTTGGGACCCTGTTTGAAATACGGTTAGCACTCAAACCTGTGTTGAGTGAGGGGCAGGCAGCATACCATTTCTCCCCACCTGGTAACCCTTTGACAAGGGAGTGGCCAGTGGTTTTTTGATAGCTCACTTTTTCAAGAAAAAAGTGTCATCCTGAGACAGTTCGGTAGCCCCTCTGCTTCAAACGCTGGGCACGCTTCATGCTCCTAGAAAGCCCCGCTGTCCTTTATAAAAGAGGGATGCCTCCTTACAAAGAACAGGGTTAGAATCTTGACTTCTCAGGTCCATTTTCTGTGTCCTTGGAAGCTTTCTTTAAATGATTTGTAAAATAATGATCTCCTTAAGTTACAGATGGCCTCTCATCTGCCCATGTGTGGTTTCTAGCATGCTTCACTGATTATGGGAGCAGGAAATGGCCTCCCAGGAGGATTACTGGTCCTAGTACAGAAACACCCCAGAGCAAAGAAGCGGTCCCTGCTTTATCCAACACAGTTAACTAAAAGTTTTTTGTTTTGTTTTTTTTTTTTTTGAGTTGAGATGGAGTCTTACTCTGTCACCCAGGCTGGAGTGCAGTAGCACGATCTCGGCTCACTGCAACCTCTGCCTCCAGGGTTCAAGCACTTCTTCTGCCTCAGCCTCCCGAGTAGCTGGGACTACAGGTGAATGCCACCGTACCCAGCTAATATTTTTTTTTTTGTAGAGATGGGTTTCACCGTGTTAGCCAGAATGATTTTGATCTGACCTCAGATGATCCGCCCACCTCCACCTCCCAAAGTGTTGGGATTACAGGCATGAGGCACCGCCCCCGGCCTAAAAGTTCTTATAAATGGTGACTTTCTGCAAAGTTTAGATAAAACCAAGCTAAAAGCACAGGACCAACAAGTTCCCAAAGAGCAATTTCTCTTCATATTAAATGTAGCATAGCTCAAAGGAGGAAGAGGAAGTACCAGGAGTGAAGGATCGAGCTCTTTTATTGTATGCACTGAAAGGTAACAGGGGCAGCCTTCGGGTGGTGTGGAATCTGTCCCTCTGGGGTCTTCTTCTAGGGCACTGGAATATGAAACTGGGGTATTAGGTGCCCCTGGGGTCCAGAATCTTCCCAATGAAGAGAAGGGCCCCGGTGTCTGTGTCCCTCAGTACGAAGATGAAAGGCTGGTTGAGGTGATAGTCCAGGGGGAAGGTGAGGTAGGCAGGCTGCGGCCCTGGGCTGGGGGTGGCCCCTGCCCCGTCCTCATTCCACTCGAAGCCAGCCCGGTGTTCCACTTGAGTAAGCTTGATAGGTTTGCCTGTGATCTTGCTAAAGTCTGGTGAATCAAACAGGGATTGCAGCTCTGTAGAGATTGAGAGAGATTTCTGTTAAAACCCTGCCCAGCACCCCAACCGAGGGGTCCAGTTGCAAGCAAGCTGGGATGGCACATCACCGTTGACTTTCTGTGAGGCGTGAAGAGCGCTGAGCTGGCTGAGGGTTAAGTGACTCAGCAAGTCAGGGAGAGATTAGAACACAGGCCGGACAGACTTGACTGGAGGGGCAGTGTTCTGAGCGCCTGCTGCAGGAGGTGGTTCCTCAGGCTAAGGAAGGAGTCTGATGGGAGAAGGCAGTTCAGCCTTCCCTTCTGACATTAATGAGGATGAAGAAATCATCCATGGCCTCCCTACAAGGCTGTGGAGCCCTTGAGTTCTGCTTACCAAAGTAAAGGGCCCGAAAACCCGACCCCACCCCACCCCATCCCCCCGAGAGCAAAAGGGGCTTGCAGACGTACTCATCTCCTGCAGGGACTTGGTAACTTCGCCTTCGTAACTCAGCTTCAGCTTGGGGACGGTCAGGACCGCTTGGACGGTCTTCAGTTCTCGGTCTATGTCATGAATGAACTCAGAGGTGAGGCTCTCTTCTATCAAGGTCAAATTCTGGGTCGCTTTCATGGGCAGGAAGAAGATGATACTCATGCTTCCGGTCAAGGGCAGCTGGGCAATCTGAGACAAGTGAGAAAGCACGTGGGTTAGTCCTTGAGAGCCAGAGAACAGGTGGACATGGCCGAGAGCTGCCCTCCCTCTCCCGGGGTGGGGCCCTGCCTCGTCTTCCCACCAGCCCCTCATCTGTTTAGCAACCCCCCTCTAGGTTATGGCTTTCTGGCAGCGAGCCCTCTCCTGACGTTTCTTCAAAGACTGTGCTGTTGTCTTTCCTCACCTGGGCCTGATACCAACTGAGTATCTGCTGAAAGACTGTCCTCCTGTGGTTCTGAGGAGCTAGAGTTGAATTTTCAGGTCTTTATTTTCTCCCAAAGTCCTTCTGCCAACATTTACTGATCACTCGTTAGGGGGAGAGTGCTGTCCGGGGTGGGAATGCAGAGGCGGCAGGGGGAGGGCTCGGAGGCGCCGCCCCAGCCACCAAGAGCAAAAGCGTCCTCTGAACAGAGGCTCTTAACCCAAGGTCCATGGAATGGGTGGTGTCAGGGTCCCAAGAGCCCCCTGAGGTTGTTGACGGATGTGTGTGTGCACAGCTGTTGGTGTGAGATCCGACAGCTGTGTATATTCCGCCTGCTGTGTGACTCTGGGGATCTGACAGCCCTGCCTGAAACTCTCCCGGGTTCCCGCAGTGCTGTCAGATTCCCAGAGATCGTGTCAGCCATGGCCCAAGGAAGGCTAACAGTCACATGAGAGCCTTAGAATGCCAGCCAGTGGCCCGGCGTGGTGGCTGACGCCCATCATCCCAACACTGTGGGAAGCCAGGGCATGCAGATCACCAGGTCAGGAGTCCGAGACCAGCCTGGCCAACGTGGTGAAACCTCATCTCTACTAAAAATACAAAAATTAGCTGGGCGTGGTGGCACACACCTGTAATCCTAGATACACAGAAGAATCTCCTGAACCTGGAAGGTGAGGTTGCAGTGAGCTCAGATCGCACCCCTGCACTCCGGCCTGGGAGACAGAAGAGTCTGTCTCAAAAAAAAAAAATAAAGAATGCCAGGCTGGGCATGGTGGCTCACGCCTGTAATCCTAGCACTTTGAGAGGCCGAGGTAGGTGGATCACCTGAGGTCAGGAGTTCAAGACCAGCCTGACCATCATGGTGAAACCCCGTCTTTTAAAAAAAAAAAAAAAAATGCCAACAATTTGGAGTTTGTCATTATTTTTCAGTGTTTGTCTTTAAATTCTAGAAGTGAAGTCTCAAGAGAAAGGAGAGAACAAATATTTGAGCGCCCAATCTGAGAGCCCATTTCATAGAACGTTCATCCTTACAGCAAACCCTGGAGGCTCGGTATTGATAACTGTCCCCTACCCCACCTTTTTTTTTTTTTTTTTTTTCCATACAGAGTTTCACCATGTTGGTCAGGCTGGTCTTGAGCTCCCGACCTCAGGTGATCCACCCACTTTGGCCTCCAAAGTGCTCGGATTATAGGCGTGAGCCACCACGCCCGGCCCCCCATCTTAAGAAGAGGAATGGCTCAGAGATCTTATTAAACTGCTCAAAGTAAAACAGCAGGAGGAATATACACAGCTGTCGGGTCTCAAAGGTCATTCTGTTTCCACTACACTGTTCTGCTTCTCTGTCCCTTTCCCCCCCCACCACCACCCCTGCCCCCATCACCCTCCCTGTCCCCACAGACCTTGCAGTTGAGATCAGAATCTAAGCCATAGCGCAAAATAGCCTTAGGGTCTGACATCATGGGGACCCTCACAGTCCTATCTTCATCCAAGTGGAAATCCTCCAGGGAAGTCTTTCTGGAGTCAAACTTTGTTACCCACTGCCCTGGAATGAAATGAATGAAATATTCTGAGACCAGAAAGACAGTGGGACCATGCTGCGTCCCCACAGTAAGTTCTTGAAAATTGCCCGACTAAAGGAACCTTAGCTGTGAGGGGCTCTGACGCATCAGGATCGGCCTGTCTCACTGTGTGTTGTTTGGACCCCACAGTTAGTTCCGGGACCCTGAGTACCGTTCACAAGCAAACTCAGATGGCAACACGTTGATCTGGTTGATTAGACTGTAGATTGTACATATTCTGTGCTAACCTGCAAGAAAAGTAAACTGGTGGCTTGGCACGGTGGCTCACTCTTGTCATCACAGCACTTTGGGAGGCCAAGTTGGGGGAATCAGCCTGAGGTCAG